TAATTTGTATAAAATTTATCAATCAAAGTACGATCCAAAGATAGATTGTACTTGCTAACAATGTATTTGCTAACAAATAACAAATCTTACAGACTTATGAACCTTAACCTAAATAATTGACAAATCTAAAAGAAAAAAATGGAAATGATCAGGACCCCCAGGATGGTCTCGCAGATGGACATTCATTAAGATGGACGCCAGTCCTTTCATATTTGTATACTGTGTATAATTAATCATATACTTGTTTGTTGCAGTAAATCACAAAAATGTTAAATCACCTGGATGCACACAGGATATTTTCTACACATGTCATTTAAGAAAAGAATCCCATTTTTCCTGGTGGTGTATTTTTAGTTGATCCATTGTCTGTTATTGTAGTCCTAATTTCAGATGTTTGACATAATATAGATATGACTTGCAATTGGTATTGTGGATCACTGCTAAACTAAATAGTTCATTCTTTACAGTGAAATACAAATAGATTCAAATGAAGAGAAATATAGATCTTCAGATTGATTCAGTTTCTACGATAAAGAGTTCATATTCATATATGATAAATTTGTTACATCATTTGTTAATTTTAAAAAATGTTCAAGCTTGTCTATGACTTTTATTCTGTTAATTAGAAATGAAGTCATTTTAACAATTCGGAAAAAATATTTCTATAGTGTATCTTTACATACTATTATTATCATAGTCGATCACAACAATTTTACAGGATATATTATAAATTCTGTATTTTTTCTTAATTATTTGAACAATGAAAAACTGAATGATAGCTAAAAGAAAATTTGATATTTATCCATGAATTTAATAGTGTTAATTGATTTTGAATAAGTTTGGATGACAAGTTCCTTAACATTTTTAACATTCATCATTTAAATCTCATAAGTTGCTTTGATCTGAGATAACGAAATTTAAGTTTTTTTCTAATTTATACGCGGAATTTTTTCCCCTAAATGTTTGACAATATGTAGATTTCCTTGTTAAAACTATGTCATTAAGGTTACAGTTGTAAGGTAATAAATGTATCACAACTATCTGTCGTGTCAAGGAATTTAAATTAAAATCTCCATTTATTTTCTTCAGCTTATTGTTATTTTAATAAAAATATGACAGAGAGAGAAAAAATATTGCCTTACGTGCTTCCAGAAATATGTTGAATTATCTCCATAATGAGAATAAAATTCATATTGTTAGGTAAAAACCCCCACCAAAATAGTGTCCTCATCCTTACCGAGACATGCATGGGGTCTTGTTGAATAATAAATTTGTACCTCCAAAACATTTGTGACACATGCATTTTGTAAATAAATACCAAATAACAACTCTCCATATTTTTTCCACATTTTTAAAATCTACCTTGTCTTTCTTGTTATATATTTTTTGGGCTTAAATTCTAATTTTCACTGCCAGCTACCCACAAAATTATAACAAATTGTTTGTTTCTGACCATTTTATGGGATTTTGAGTGCGGCAAAGTGAGACATATGTTAAAAAAGAAATATGTTTACTAATAGTTACTTAAACTTCCAAAGTACATTCCAGTTCTAAATTGATAAAATCATATTGGTTATCAAACAAAAGGTTTTTTATGTCCATGATTTCCAACTTCATAAAATGAAATCTTTTACGGCGTCAAATGACGACGAGATTTCGTCTTGTGAAGTTAATATATCAATTTATTCACAATGGTTTTTATGGTTATGACATATAATTTCTTAATTGTTTTAACACCACCGACAGCTTAATTATTTAACAGATTTTGACCAAAATCTTATTTCGAATGTATTGTTCATCACTGATGACTACTTTGACCATGAAAAGAGATTTGTGCAAATATACATGTAAATATAACTCAGTAAAAATAATGTTATTATACAAAAGAATTGTGCTTTGTGCGAATTTTGAGAATTTTACGGGATAATAAGTTTAAGCTGACATGAATACAAATGACTTTCTAAGAAATATACAGATAAAACATCTTTCACGACTATAAAAAAAAACATTCAAAAAAATCTAAGAAGAAAAAAAATTATCACAGAATTATGAATTATGACAAATAAATAACAATGATTGATATCATTCTGGGTGGTATATTAAATTAATACTTTGGCTTGATTCGCCAATCTCAAGGATTACCCACACGGGTTCTAGTGTGTGCCAGGTCCAAGGTCCGCGGCAGAGGAAAATGAACGCGTTTGTTTCCTTTTCCAGACACAACGTCAAGCCGGTAAAGGATTCAGGTAATGACACATACGTTATTTTAACAGTGTCACAATCACGAAGAATACTTTAAATTCGCGTAGTCTGTTTGAGAACGAACGCACATACTCAGCATTTCCTTTCTTAAAACATATTTTGTGAGTTGAAAAAGATTTTTGTTCCTATTCCATATATAATAAATATTTCATTTTTAGCTCAAATACCTTTGCAATTCAAGTGCTTTAAATAATTTTGAATATACCATTTTTTTTATTACAGTAATCTATTAAAAATAATTAAATTTCAATGTTTTATTGGGAAGCAAATATATCTAATTTGTCATGTAATAAATCATCTGACACAATACATTGTTTGGTTTTTCTGTTCAGTAGGAATAACTCTGAACAATAGGTCTTTAACAAATCACTGAAATTAAATAGAGACAATAAAGATTATTCAATGATTAACTGAATTGGCGAATGATTAATTGCTGCAATCCCTTAGTTTCAAAAAATGTTTGATAGGAAATCAGTGAATTTTGTTTTGTTATATATGAACTTAATCTTTATTAAGTGCTTTGTAATGTATGATAGACTGGCATTAGATCCTTTACCTTCCACTCATGTTGACAATTTATGTTTAGATTATTTGATCTCTGAACAATAAAGGGAATAATATATAACAATCGATTTGTATCTTTCAAAATAAAAAAGACATAAAATGTGTGCTAAGTGAGATTTTTAAATGTTTTTTTACTTCGAAATACAAACTCAAAAAGTACAAATGGTAACAAATTATACCCAATTTTATTATGGTTTTGATCTATATGTAACTTTAGAAAAAAGATTTATTGGATTGAATTACATGTATTTTGGAATAAAAATCATAGTTTTGGAATTCATCTCCACCATACTCCTGGCATTTATGAAAAATATACCATACGATTGTCTCTGCTTTCAAAAAGTAACCTCCTTTACACTACAGTGTGAATATTTTTTTATTCATAAGAAATATAACATGAATTATATTAAAAAATCAGATACTGTCTTTTCTAAATTAATAAAACAACGATAAAAACAACATTTTTAACGACATAGTGATTTATTTTTGATCAGAAAACACTCTGATTGAATAATCTTATTTTCCTTACTGCTTTGAAAATATAAAAAATATATAATGTTTTGTAGAATTGAAAATCCTGAAGAAACTGAGTATGACATGTCAAAGCATTTTAAACAATGTACAGTTTTTTGAAACATAGCATATGTAAATTAGATACAAAAATTATTGAAAAATTCGTAAGACTAATGAAATGTCGTATGAATATTCCTGTATCTCTGTATCACGTTTCTCGGTGTTATTTTTATTGATTGTATTGTTAAAATATGGACATAAAATTTAAGGAAAAATAAAACACTCTGATGTACGTCATTGTTAAAACCTTAAGTATGTTGAATCATCGATGTATTCCAAAAAGTAGATTGTGATTTACTATAATATGTTAAGTTTTATATTTTAAATGAAAATATTTCTTTACGTAAAATGTAGTATAATTAAGATAAATAAAAAAACCTGTTTTGATTAAAAGTGAGAAATATAAATTGAAATGAATATTACCTAAACTCATTTTTATGTGCAAGAATGACATTTTTGCTTTTAATATGTCCGGAGCATTGATCCTAAATAAAATATTTGCTCTCATATGCGAAAGACTAGACACACAAAAAGAGACATGATTTAACGGCAACAAATGTTACGCGAAAGTGTTTATTTCATGTCTGCTTGTAGCATCACGCCAATAAAGATGTCAAAGGTATCACTTGAAACAAACACATGAGAAAATGAGAAAAAAACAGAAACGTTATAAACATATTTTTGTCTTATTCATTTGTCAATATTACGCGAAAACATTCACTGATGAGGAGATCATTGCCAATTCTTACGTTAGTGCCTTTGTGACAAGCAGAAAACAGTCAGACACTGGACAAACTCGTTTCTTCGTATGAGTCACATTGTTTTGACAGTTGCATAAAGATGTAAAATTTAAATTCAACCATGCATTTGATAACATAAATTACAAAAATGGAAGTGGTTAGGCATCTCCATTATGAGGTTGATATAACACTGCCAAGAACCCTAAGAAAATGTTTTCTTGAAAAATAAGACAACCTGACTTGATATTTTTCATATCTATTGTTATAAGGTGTCGTTGAAATTCAAACAGGGTTTGATGTGGCATCTAATGAAAATATTCTTGGACATAACTGTGTAAGTGCCAAATTAAAAATGTTCAGGTCGGCCTCTTAATCACTTAAGTTGTTTAATTATTAACTAGATCGTTCTTTATTAAACGTCCAGGAAGTCATGAAGTAGCATATTTATCAGACCACAAACTGAATATTGTAACATTTGATTTATGAGATGACGGGGACAAACTTTCCCACAACTTGTCACTTTTTTATTTTGTCGATAATATGTTAGCATGAACAATTCTCAGAATATGTACAAAAGGGGTATTGACCTGAAAAGTCATTTAGATAAACATACTGAGTATATATGAGTAACGCTACCGAAAGATATCAAGAAATGTTATCTTTCTGTGATTATCAAAAAACTGCGCCGATTGAATAGAAATGAAAAAAATGCACTTATCCCTTCATATCAAGCTATACATTGTGTTTGCTCTAAAGATCTTTAACTTGTGAACGAAATGTTAACAAGTGAAGTAATGAAATGTACTAAAATATTTCAAAAATAATTTTCCCTACTTATTGACAGAAGAAAATAAATCGAAATAGGTTTTTTCTTCATTTATTTTATACCAAAACACAATAAATTAAAACAACCATTCACACACATCTTCAACATGAACATTTCAACAACTCCAAGGAGAATATGATTTAGCTGACGATAATGAAACGGGATTTTTCATCCATTGTAACAATTTGGATACTGATACAATGTAAACATCTTCATTTTGTAATAGTTTGTCTATGAATTCCGAAAGTCCTGCAAAATTTCTATTGTTATACCAGTAAAACCAGTCACGAGATATATGAATTCCAAATGGAGCTTTGTTTGTCTTATATGAATTAAAATTATTCATTAAATATTCAACGGTTTCCTCTGTTGTTTTTAGACCTCTGCATTTATCGGCATATGTGCATGCCACGCCATTGAGTGATGTCATTGGAATAACGGGAACTTCCCAAATCCCAGCATTTACTGTTGAGGAACAATTTCCTCCAGCACATTTATTTGTGTTAAAATCTAAGGTAAATGGCCATGGTTTGAGCTTATCATTACTAGTACTGTTTCGTAGAACAAGTGATGAATCATACATTGCCCTCTTGTGTAAGACATCAATGTTCGGCACTGTTTCCTCAAACAGTTCTGGAGACCTCCACCCTTTAATTTCCTCCTCAGGGATAGCCGAATGGGAACGGAAGCTTTCTGTTTGTTGATTTATATCCGATAGCAAGCTTTCAGAAGTTTCATAGGCTGACGATTGTAGTCCGTTCAAACCAATTTCGATGCCGTCGTTGTATAATAAATTAGCTAAACGATAGCTAGATCCTCTTCCATTGGCAAAGAAAGTAGCCCCGATTCGGCATCCGTTAGGGTTTCGTCTGTTATCATTGAACAAAGTTTTCATTTTTGAATACGTGAGAAAATTGATGCCTCCGTCGATAGTAATATAAACAATCTGGGGTACGTCGCTAAGCTTCATGCTTGTTGGATAACTTGTAGTTTTGCAAAAACATGAGGGAAGTTTACAGTTTTCCCCTTGTTTACAATTTGTTTCATTTGAAGGCAAAGTTGAAGTTTGAGATTTTTCCTGCGTTTTTTCTTGATCTAAAGCAGTGGATAATGCGACAGTTTTGCCTTTTGTCTTGCCAGAACTCACATATTTCTGCTTCTTTTGGGATTCTATCCATTCTTGTAAAGATGATATGACAGGGGAGTTCGTTTTGCTCTTTACAACACTCCACGGGCCTATAAATTCAAAATTTACTTTTGTGTCAGCACTTTTGGGCGAACTTGTAGTCACCAGTGATATTTGGTGGTCCACTGGAGAGTCGTTTGTTGAAACCGTGCTTGATTCAACGATTGTTGTCTTCTCTTTGGTGTCTTTGTGTGTTTGAGTTTGTGTTCTGGTGTTATCCTCCACATCTGGAACATGAATCATTGGTGGAATGTGACTATTGTCAGTATGACTGTGTGCATGATGGGAGAGCAACGATGTACTGATATTACCGAAGTTTCCTCTGGTTGCCTTCGTCTGTCGTCTTGATTGTTGCTCTTCATTATTAACTTTATTTGTAAGAATTGATTGCCAAGAATAGGCTGGTGATTCATACAAATTCTGTTGTCTTTTGTTCTGTCTCGTCAATGGTGACGGTGGTTTCGGAATTGGCAAATTCGAACTTTTCTGTCTTGGCTGCACTGGCGGTGGAGGGGGCATAGCTGTTGTTCGAATGGTTTTCCTCATCGCTTTCCTGCGTTGCATGCGTTGAAAAAGATAAGAATTCCGTATAGAAGACTGCTGTCTTTGTGCCTTGATCGGGTTAAATCTACTCGTATGATGTAAACTTCCTGAGGTGTGAGAATTATCGTGTGAATGTTGTTCTCTATGGGTATTCTCTCTGAACTGAGTTTGATGCTGGTCAAAAGCGTTGTGACTGTGGTCAGAAATTTCTGGTTGACTTACGATGCCACGATTTCTTTTGTCGCCAGCGAAAAGTCCTTTTGCGTGAAGTTTTGGCGCAGAGCGATCACGGGGATTGGTGCATGTCCATGGTTTAAAACTCTTCAGCTTCTCCAATGGAGTAGGTTGCTTTAGCCACGATATAACTTGCTTTACAGAGACAATGTATACATCATCTAGTTTCAATAAATCCTGTATAAATCTGTCCATAGCCCTTAATCGGTCTGGTACGTAAAACCAAGCTGCGTGCATGTTAATACCAAATGGCGCTTTGTTGGTCCTATAATAGCTATTGAAATTTTCCCACAGAAATTTGTAAGCAGATTCCTCATCAGGCGGAGGATTGTTGCATCCATCGACATACACACATTCGTATTTGCCAAGGTAGTCTGTAACAGATACTACAGGTACTTCCCAAAATCCTCTGTGTGTTGATTTTGGACAAGGTTTGATCTTGCAGTCATATGGCCATCCGTAGTCCAATGTGAAAGGAAGAGGTGCTTGATCTGTTTGTTTTGTTTTACTGATGGTAAGGGTGGCGTCATACGAATATCCCAAAGACTGAAGAATGTTTGGTTGGGCATCTCCCATTGGCTCTAAAAATGGACTTCTCCACCCGCGGATCTTTGATTTTGGTATCCGGGCCTTTTTGGCTAAGTTGTCTTTCTGCTTTTCTGCCTCATTTTTGAAAGTATCCGAGCTTGGATGACTGTGAGTGACACTGTGGGATGCAATCTCGAAACCTTTCTGGTAAAATTCTCTTACCAAGGAATAAACAGTATTGGCATGCGAAATAAATAAGGTCATGGATATCGGACATCCATTTGGATTTCTACGATTAGAATCAAAAAGTTTTCTATAAAAACTGGCAATATAAGTATTAACTGCATCATCGAAAGTAAAAAATACCATCTGAGGTGTTCTGGATTTTTCAAGAGGCATATCTTTTCCACAGCATACACAACTGGGAGGTTTACATGTATCGCCATGTTGACATCTATAACAAGTCGATGGCGAAGCAGCTAAAGTCCATCCCAAAAAGGAGATCAAAATAACAAACTGGAAAAACGATTTTGAAAATTCCATTTTTCCCTTTGTTTATCAAAACTGATTAAATTGTCTCCAAACACAAGCCGTTAAGAAGTAATCATCCTATGCTCGCCACAACGTCACTAACACAAATGAAATCCTCGTCCAGGTAAAGAAAGAAAAAAGGCTACCTGTTCACAATTATATGCAGAAAAATTATGAAAAGATGGAACCTATGTTAAAAACGTGCGACTTAGTGACAAACGCATGTGACATTTCTTTAACAGCGTAGGTCCATCACCGTCGGGCCGCGGGCGAATGACAACTGAGCAGCGAAAAGGAAACGTGGGTTTATATTACTTCGGATTATGAATACAATAAGAATTAAAATAGCGCCGTTAACGATTGTAATTATCACTGAGACTATTAACTTAATGAATTATTCTTGGCGATTATGACCAACCCACAAAAATGAATATTGTTTCAGATGATATTAAGATAATTTAATTTGGTAGAAAAACAATGATTCTTGGGTGAAACCTTGTAATATGATGAATTTCTTTTTTATTTTTATTTGGGCGTCGTAAATTTATTTTGAAATTAACACGATGGTTTCGTCACAATTCTCCACATTTATATATATATATGCCTGTTTCATTCTGTGTTCTTTTATGCTTTTAAAAATTACTCGTAAGCAAATATAAAACAAGCTATGTAAAACCGCACGAGCAGAAATTTATTTACACGCATTATACATGTATGTTATTTAACAAAATCATAAATAACTTCCAAATAAGGTAAACTATTTGTGCTTATGGACCTGGATACATGAATTTGATAACTTAAACATTCATAATTATGAGCATTTGTTTCAAAAATACATCATTTTTTAATTATAAATACAAGAGAAATGGTATGGTTATAATTTTGAAACATTTTATGACCTATTAAATAGGCAATTCCAATGCATTAACATTTTATACCTGTGATATTAATATATGATTTATAAATCGGCATAATTTTTATGGAAAGTTTGCATAAAACTTATTATCTTTTCGAGTACACTTTAATTTGACTTACACGTTAAGTCGGTCACATAAGTTGTTCGACAATAACAAGTGATAGTACAAGTAGGCCTAGTATTCTTGTGATTTTTTTGGGACTTTTTTAAATTACGTTTTATTGTCATTGATCAATTACAACTGCAAGAGAAAATCAAAGTATACACTTTAGAAATAAAAAATATTTTTGCCTAAATTTGGGCGTTGTATATTGCATTTCGAATTTGCATAATTGTACGCTTTCATTATCATAAATGTCGATTGTAATTTCTATAAAGGACAACATGCAAAAAAAAAAAAAAAAAAAAAAAAAAAAAAATTAAAAAAAAAAAAAAAAAAAAATCTTACATAAGACGTTTAAAATATTGGCTTCCCGTGCTCTGCATTTTTTTTTTTTACTTTTTATTCCTGTCATATTTTGATTTATGGCCTTTTGAAATCATTGGACGGTTTGGATCAACAAGTTAGGAATTAATTTTAAAAAATGATTTTTCCTATTATCATTTATTAACATTTACCGGATTATTTGAATTTCCGATTAATGCAATGAAATCCATTACTGGATGGTAACATGCAAATCCGTGGTTAGAGGTTAACTATTTGCTAACCTTCTCAATATTTGAAAATTTTGCATATAGTAATATTTCCTCGGCGGAATCGAAGCCTTTTGGCATCTTTACTGCAATTAAATGTCACAATGCTCGAAAGTTTAGTCTCTTTATATTCTTAAGAAACGGTACTGAGTTTAAAAAAGTATTGCTGCATAGATAACAGACAAGATTCAGACAGAAAAATCTGCACTCTAAAAGATATGGACATAGACATTGATGCTTAGAAGGTTAATGTTAATTTTAATTCTCTTTTCGAAGATGGCATGCTTTGAGAAAGTCGTTTTTAGCTCTACGGGTCAGAGATCAGAAGAGCTTATGCGATAGTAAGGTGTCCGTCGTCCGTCCGTCTGTCTGTCTGTCCGTCTGTCTGTAAACAATTTTTCAAAACGCTACTCTTCCTACAGTTTTGGTCTGATTTCAATATAACTTGGCACACAAGTAGATTACACTAAGATACATATTTTAGTGCATCGGTTTTTGATTTCGATGAGCGGTGTTGCCATGGTTACTAAAAATAGAAATATCAGTGAAATTCCTTTAAAACGCTACTACTCCTACAGTTTTTGTCTGATTTCAATATAACCCGGTACACAAGTAGACTACACTAAGATACATAATTTAGTGCATCCGTTTTTGATTTCAATGAACGGTGTTGCCATGGTTACTAAAAATAGAAATTTCTGTGAAATTCCTTAAAAATGCTACTCCTCCCACAGTTTTGGTCTGATTTCAATATGATTTGGCATACATGTAGACTATATTAAGATACATAATTTAATGCATCAGTTTTGATTTTGATGAACGGTGTTGCCATGGTTACTAAAAATAGAAATTTCTGTGAAATTCCTTTAAAAGGCCACTCCTCCTACAGTTTTGGTCAGATTTCAATATAACTTGGCACACAAGTAGACTACACTAAGATACATAATTCAATGCATCAGTTTTTGATTTCGATGAACGGTGTTGGCATGGTAACTAAAAACTACGATGGCCGACAGCGGCCGCCACTTTCTGATTAAGAATATTGTCATTTTGTACAGCGTTTTTGTCAATTTTCGTTGACATATTACAACTAAACTGGTAATGCTATATGTACATGTACACTTTTTACACTGACAATTTACACCAGCGAAAAACATTAAAATTCTTTCGTGTGATATGAAATTAAGATACATAAAACAGGTGGCTTGAAAGAGATAAGGAGCATTTTAATGATTTTCACCCTCAATTAGTCTGAGATATCGTAACCCAGTTAATCCTACATGTAGATTAGACGTAAATCGTCATTCTGTCACCTTGTTGTATCATTTAAACGATATTCTTGGGATTGTAATTAAAAAGGCGAATAAAAGTAATACGTTTGTTGTAATGGATATACATGAATATAATTGATATATCCCGATCATCAGATTGATTCTACCTATTATGTAGAGGTAGAAAAACAGGATTTAGTAGCTCTACATGTGAGCATCCAATCAAAAGTTTATGGAATGTATCAAAAACAAAACTTTAGATACGGAAATATACCCGTTTTTAAGCAAGAATAAAATGACAACCTTAAATGTGGGAGTCTGTATTTGCTCTCTAAATACATAAAATTAATAACTAAATGCTTGAAACACTTTTAAAGGCCAACGCAACCTCTCAACTTCCACCTGGTCGGCCAATTATTTTTCAATGTGGCACGGAAATGAAAATATAGGTACATGTAACTAATGTGATCATTTCCTCGTGCGCATTGTTTAAAAAACAAAATTCATACATCAAAGACACGTCCGATTATGAACAAAATCAAATTTCTGATAGACCTGGAAAATTTCATCCTGGTTACCTATGATGTAACCAGCAGGTACACCAACATGGAATTTTATGAATTAATTACTACAATCTGTCGAGAAAGTATATCTAGAAGACAATACTAATCTGTAATCACCCCGACCTTCCTGTTCTGCTAGAACCTTAAGCGTATCACCTTCAAGTAACCTGTTTCATGTATCTTCATTTCATATCACAAGAAAGAATTTTAATGATTTTCTCCAGTGTAAAAACTGTATATGGACATATAGCATTACCAGTTTATTTGTAATTTGTCAACGAAAATTGACAAAAAAGCTGTACAAAATGACAATATTCAGAATCAAAAGTGGCGGCCGCTGTCGGCCATCGTAAAAAACAGAAATTTCTGTGAAATTCCTTTAAAACACCACTCCTCCTTCAGTTTTTGTTTGATTTCAATATAACTTGGCACACAAGTAGACTGCATTATTAAAGATACATAATTCTATTCATTGCTGCATGTTGCAAGGTTTCAAGTCCAAGTGCTACTTTTTCTTTGTTATATGTACAGACCAGTAGAGCTACGGTCTCATCAGAGACTTCTGGTTTATTATAATTTTATTTCCCGTAAAAATTACACAGTCCTGCCTATAAGGTACTCGGTAGTCACGAAAAAAAATGTCCATCCCATATTCAAGTGAAATCAAATTCCCCGTGCAATTACACAGTCCTGCATAATTATTAGACACTGGCGGTCACAAAAAAAAAAAAATGTCCATCCCATATCCATGTAAAATCAAACCTCTGGACATGGAATCATAGTTCATTCAGTTTTGAAAATCTGAGAGTACAATTGCAATAGATTTAAATCAAAATTCGGTTTAATTGTAATTTGTAATCAAGGTTGGCCAAGCTGGTATTGATCCGGTAATTTTAAAATTTAATATTTATATTACCAATTTATAAGCTAAGGGCAAAATCGTGGCTAATGATATTCATTAGAAAACGTGAGAAGTGAGACTTGAACGTTTCATAAAACACTTTTGACAATTTATACTTTTTGATAAAAATATCAGTAATGTATATCAGGGGAATTAGCTTAAGTGGTAGAGCGCTCGCTTAGCATGTGAGAGGTACCGGTATCGATGCCCGGATTCTCCAAGAAACATTTTTTTTTACTGCTTAAAGGAGGGGGTGGGGGCTAGTATTGGTTACGGAGTTTGATATTACAGCAGTTTCTCAACTTCAAGTTTTCGTCTTGAATTCGGAGTGTGAGATAGAAAGTAAAATATTTTTTCTAGAATATTTTTGAGTATATATACATGTACATATTGTCGAAGTAATTCAAATTATATTTTTTGCAAATATTGTTTATCTGTAAATTTAGGGGATCAGCATATTGACATGTATTGTGTGAATACCTTTTGGTCTGATCCCCTATCATGTTTATGTATATATATTTCTTATTTTCGTCATTTTTAATAAATGACATATTTCATCTCAACATGGTGTTGATTTCATTGATTATAACTCAGCAAAAACAGAGCTGCGGTGAGTTTGTGCAGCATGAGGAAACATAAAAATAATTCAAGTATGTCATTCAATAAAACTTCATTCTAAGTAAAACTTTCTATTTGTTTTAACCGATATTATCATTGAATCCAATTTTTATTTGTCTCCGAATATTATATATTTCCTAGAAAGCAAAATCAATGGGGATTTTCGAACTCCAACCCTCTACCCGGAGCAGCTAACACGTATTGCAGCAGAAAAACTACCAGAAGGAGAGTAATATGTACTGTTGTCATGAAATCTATGTGACATTCAGGTGGTCGACGTAACTTTCTTTTCTTGTTTGGGGTTGCTTACATGA